TTCCAGCCTGCCCCTCTCCGCCTTCCGCCTGCCCCTTGGCGTTTCCGCGCCGGTGGGACACGAACCCGCCTGCCGCGCACCAACCGACCCGCACAGCCCCCGGCATGCAGGGGCTGCGGTGCCAGGCTGGTTTCATTGCCCGCGGCCGGGGACGGGAAGGATCCGTGTGGCACTCACCCAGTACTTCTGGGTCTGCCCACGGGGCGTCCTCTCCTCTCCCCACCTGCGGCAGGAGCGAAAGGAACAGATGGTCAGCTGCGCGGCTCTGGCTCTGGGTCGGGGGGAGCAGCACTCCCCTAAGGGATCTAGCCCAACTCATGCCTGGCAGGAGGAGCCGGTGCCGAACTCTGGTGCCTTTCCCCCCTACAAGGCAGTTACACGGATCCGCGCTGGTGAAAGGCAGCGGCCAACAGGCCCTGGAGACCAAGCCCCCGGGGTTTAATCCTCCGGAAGGTGCACTGGCTCCCTTGGCTCATGATCTGGACCGACCCCCCCGTGGAATCGCGGCGTCTCCGGGGCCTATTCGCAGGTTCTCTGCGCCCAGTGCCAGTGAAAACCCGCCAGCACGGCTAAGCCTAGCACCTGGATAAGATGCACCCGGCTCATCCGAGCCCTTCGGCGTCACGTGCTCCCGCCGGAGGCAGCCGTGAACCGGGGGTGGGGAACACGCATGTGTCACAGTCGCCGTGCAAGCCAAGCCAGAGCCAACGCTCCTCGGGAGAACATGGGAACGGCCGCTCTGCATCTGGCCGCCCCCAGAAGCCAACGCCAGGTGCCCCAGCGGGAACGAACAGAAGAGGAGTCACTGGGCAACCCCTCTGCCCCCCACGCACGTGGAGCTGGGTGGGCCCTGATTCTGGCGTGAGTGTAAACGTGGCCCCGCTCCGCTCCTTGGACCTGGCTGGCGGGTGGCTTTTTGCACGCTGGCCGCCGCAGCTCTCCCGTGAGCAGGCCCAGAGAGGACGGGGGAAGGTGCCTCCGGGCTCGCGCAGGGCGTCAGGCTCGCCCCGCCGCCCCGCGGGAGTGTTTGGCGCCTGGTGTGGGAGGGGTAACCACGGCGACGCGCGGTTTATTTTCAGTGCTCAGGTTTGGGCTGCAGGCTGCAGAGGTGCCGGGCGGGGGGGTTGTTTAGTTTTGCTGCTTTTCTGGCTCGGGGAGATGGCGCAGAGCCCCGAAGTCATGGCTCCCGCCCAAGGGCCAAGCTCGCTCCAGGAACCCAGCCAGGCAGCGTTAGC